GAGGGAGGAAGGAAAGGTTGGGGGGAGGCTTCTCATTCCTAGGACTTCTTAACTTTAAAAGTATTCATGCTCCCCAGAGTCTAAAGAAATGGAACTCACTTTCTTCCTCTCTCTGCTCTATATTTTATTTTTTGCTTTCATAAGAATAGGTCTGGTGGCAAGGTTAGAAAGAGAGAATTTCAGTGTAGGGCTATGGGTGGCTTTGAGCCTCTTAGCCTAGTGAAAGAGTTACCTGGGGAGAGGGGAGTAGATGGGAAAAAGGAAAAATGGGAACTAAGATGGAGGAAGGTTTTATATAAATTACAATCATATATTTCAAAATAATATCTAAAACAATGAATTAGGGCCAATGAGATGTCTTAGTAGGTAAAAGTGCTTGCTGTACAAGCCTGGGAACCTGAGTTCAATCCACAAACACATGATAAAAGGATTTGAGTCTAGAAAGTCATCCTCTGACCTCCACACACATGCCATGGCATATGTGGGGATACACACACACACACACACACACACACACACACACACTCACACTGAATAAAATAAAATATTTTTAAAAGCAAAATAATGAATTATACTTCAATAAGAATTATTATGGTTAGGAGTGATGGTGCACACTAGTTCTCATAGCACAAGAAGCCTGAAGCAGAAGAAGGATTGCATTAAGCTCAAGGTCAACCTGGGATATATGACAAAAGCTAGTCTTTAAAAAAATGAAATTACCATAATGAAACCCATTACTTTGTATATGCTCACTTAAAAATTAAAAAATAGAAAGGGGCTAGGCGTGGTGGTGCATGCCTTTAATTCCAGCACTCAGGAGGCAGAGGTAGGCAGATCTCTGTGAATTCAAGGCCAGCCTGGTCTCTATAGTGAATCCAGGCCAGCTAGGGCTACAGGGAGACCCTGTCTCAAAAAGAGAAAAAAAAAATTAAAAAAATAAAAAGGATCATTGTATTATGCCATGGAATACTAAACAAAGACATGAGTTGGTCTATACTGAGAAAGCACATTCTCATCTCCTCCGTAACATCCAGCACTGGGTTGGTGAAAACACACAGTTAATTCTTATGACAGGCATGCCAACTCCTATTTATCACACAACAGTAAGGAAAGGAAAAAAGCAACCTGTTATTGTAAAGAGGATCCACCTGAAGATGCTGGGCAACCAGCTACTTCTGAGACACTGGCAAAGGGCAAAGGCACCAAGATAGAACTATAAGAAATTCTCTCAGATGAAAAGATCAGGCATCAAGAAGACTAAATCTTGCCATTATTCTCCAGAAATAGCCAGACAACTTGAATCTGGAGGAGTCTCTTGCCATCCATCCAAAGAAGAATCTGAACTTTGGACAAAAGACTACTGTCCTCTGTCCTAACAAATTACCTCAAACTTTGGCCTTTTAACATTCAAGTCCTCTGGGTGAAAAACACACTCCTCAAATGAGCAATTAATCACAATCTTCCGTTGATCTTCTTTCTCTTTCAGAGGACAAAGATCATACTATTTAGATTGTCTAAACTGAATCATTCTTTTTTCACTGTTTTATTATTATTTGACAATTTCATATATCTATGTATGAATTTTAGGCATTTTGACACATTCCCTTCTTTCATCCTCAATTTTCTCTTGCTGAAACTCTTCTTCCCAATAAGGCCCCCTCCTGCTTCATGCCTTCTTCTGTGTGAGACTCACTAAGTTTAATTTGAGTCTCTTGAACCAGCTTGAGTGGGAGGTTATTTACAGGAGCAAATCTCCCCATAACCATCAACTACCCATAGTCCCTCAGGATGGGATGAACCGAAAGGTGGGTAGTGATGAGGTTGCCTTGATATGGAAGTGAGAAAAGTAAGAGAGTTAAAATGGAAAACTGGAGAATTTCTATTTTAAAATCAGCATTACCTATAAGGAAGACATTCTGTCTATCAAGAGAAATTCTAATAATCAGGAGGAATCATGTCATGTTATAGAAATAAAAAAACAGTGGCAGTCAAAGAGAAAATTGTTCTGTTTAGCAGGATATTGGCAGTTAAGAAAAAAGAAAAAAGAGGCAGCTCTGTTGGCACAGTAGTAATTTACCATGACTTTTAAAAGATCTGTCAACACAAGAGATCACTATGAATTGCATCAACTGGCTGTCAGTCACTTCTAAAGTGTTTCATTGCTGAACACAGAATAGACTATTCAAACACTCCAGGATTACAGCACACACCATTTCATTTTTAGAGGGAAAACTGTCTGTTAATGAGGTCTAATGATCTCTACTCCTGAATGACAGCTTCCAAAATCCTTGCAAGGGCATCTGCAGATGTTTCAGAGGTAATTCTGAACTTAATGATGAATTTAAGTGATTTGAGATCTCAACTTTCATCAGAGTTTGAGCACATTTAACGGCATTTTAAAATGCCAATTCCCATTCCAAATGGTCTCTGACATTGTTTGAAAGACACAGAACAAACAATAAAGTAGATATTGGTTATCTGTCATATAAAGTCCTATGATAATTGGCCAAAAAAAGAAAAAATAATACATTGCAAACAGCAACCTATTACAGCTAAATGAGAGAAGACACTTCAGTAAAAGTTCAGTAGGGAGGCTTTGTCTCAGAACACTTTAAACAAAGGAAATAAACAAACCCCACCAAGAATAAGAATTTATTTTTTGTTTCTCCTTCTTGGTATCAGAGTGAATCTAAGAGAAGGGTAGTTCAGAGTGCCCTGTGAAGACCAATGCTCCCCCAACCCTTTCCATACATCCCAGGAGAACTGAAGCCACAATGGTAGGTGCTCTATTATTGACAAACTCCAGAAAAGAAATGTGGTCATCATCTTAAATAGCCTAAGTCCTGAATTCCTATAAGTTTTAGTTCTCAACGATAAATTATTGCATGTATCTACTTATATTAGAGCTGCTTTTAATGTTCAAAAGCAGAGAATTTGCCACACTTAAATTTCAAGAGGACTGACCCAAAGCAAGAAAGAAGCTGTGTACCTTTAATGGATCCCAACTACTTGACTTCTAAGGAGACAAAAACTGAGTAGTAAGCCAGATGTGGTGGTACATGCCTTTAACCTCACTACTCAGGAGGCAGAGGCAGGTGGCTCTCTGTGAGATCAAGGCCAGCCTGATTGGTATAGTAAATTCCAGGTCAGCTGGGGCTACAGGGAAGACCCTGTCTCAAAAAAACTAAAACCAAAACAAAACAAACAAAATTGAATAGCAATAACACTACTGGTCTTGTTCAAAAAAATGAATTATGCTGACTGCACAGAATTGTATTTTCTTTCCACACAAGTGTGGTTTAAATATCTGTATCAACTATTCATTTTATGTCATCTCCAAGACCTAAATGCCTAAACCTAAAAAATACCAAAATATATGGAATTACTAGTTCCAACTTTCAAGGCTTCAAACGACATTTTATTTGACAATACTTGAGTATAAAATGTGTATTAGGGGCTGGAGAGATGGCTCAGCGGTTAAGAACACTGACTTCATGCAAAAGACCCAGGTTTGAATCCCAGCACCCACATGGCATCTAACAACTGTTCCATAACTCCAGTTCCAGGGGATCCAACAGCCTCTTCTGTCTTCCACAAGCATTGTATGACATGGGTGCACTTACCTACGTGCAGGCAATACACACACACACATAAAATAAAAATAATAAAATATTTTTTTAAAAAATGTATATTAGTGCAGGGCATGGTGGAGCCCTTAGTCCCAGCACTCAGGAGGCAGAGACAGGCAGATATCTGTGAGATCAAGGCCAGCCAGGCCACATAGCAAGTGCCAGGCCATCTGGGGCTAAAGAAGCCTTAAAAAAAATGTGAGTGTGAGTGTGAGTGTGTGTGTGTGTGTGTGTGTGTGTGTATGTGTATTAGTTTTTTTTTGTTATTGTTGTTGCTATGATAAAATACCATGACCAAAGCATGGCCAGAGGTAGCCAGAGCAGAAAGCTGAGAGCTCACATCTTCAATGGCAAACATGAAGCAGGGAGAGCAATTGAATGGGGCAAGGCTGTGAATTATCAAAGACAATACCCTGCCCCACCATGACTGCTTCCTCTAGCAAGGCTGTACCTCCTAGAGATTCTATGACCTCCCCTCTAACAGTGCCACCAACTGGGGAACAAGTGTTTAAATATTGAGCCTACAGGGGACATTTCTTATTCAAACTATCCTATATAGACATACTCAGTTATCAGCTGCTCTTTCAACAGACCTAGAAGAAGCAGCCCTGGGAAAACAGATTTATCTGATGAATCAACTAGAAAATCAAAGTGGTCTAAGAGAACAAGTTCTAGAAGGAGCTAGAACTGAAAGAGATGTTAAGGTGATATAACAAGGAGAAGTAGAGAAGCCCTGAAAGCAGCAAGAAGGCCAGTATGAAGAGAGGACAGTGAGGACAGGGCCAGAACACAGAAAAAGAAATCAAAGAGACATCATGTAACCCCAACACAAGATAAGTAGACAGATAGCAAACACGGGGCTTGAAGTTCTAGGAGAATGACTTGACATCCTGAAGGACTCAGGTGTTTGTTTTCTCATCCTCCTATCATTTGAGTGTATTTCTTCTTCCTATCATAGAACCATTTCTAAGCAGAACAGCAGCCATACTACCATAGATTACTTGTAAAATCTATCTTTGTTAGCACAAAATAATGAAATCAATATGAAAATCAGGACAATATAGTGAAAATGGAGTTAGAAGACCAAGCCAGACCTATGTCTCATTTCTGTTATTCTGCTAGCTGAATGAATTAGGCAATGTCCCCGAAGTTTAATTATGCCTTCCATAAAATGGGAATAAGAGTATATGCCATGCCTACTTCAAATGCTATGGTAGCCTATGAGCAAGCTTTGAAGAACACACACTCTTCCACACATTACCAATCATGGTGATGATTCCAGATGTGAACTCACTTCAGTTACTTATAAAGGATAATGTACGCTCTTTGCACAGATGAGCAGTGTAAGTATTCAAGGATTTTCTGAGTGGTATGAGGAAAGGTACTTTATGCCCATCAATACATGTGCATACCACCAGAAGAGCCAAAGAAGTAAGTATGAGTGACTGTTCCTTCTGTCATATATAAAAATGTTGATGATGAAAGTATGTTTGCCCCCAAACACCCAATGCCTTAGTAATAACACTCAATCTTCTACAGGACAGAATGATAGAGTTGTTCCTTGATAACCTCTAACTACTTCTTCCCGTTATTACAGGATTTGCACCAAGCCCTTGTAAAAACAACAGAGACAGGGAAACCCAAGCTGAGAGGTCCTTCTCTGAAGATGTCCCAGTATACCAGTGGCACAGCCATAAATGAAAAGTCTTTGGAAGTCAAAGCTACTTCTATCAGACCATGTCCCTGCTGGCTGCCTGTTTTAAAAGGGGTTTTTAACAAACTACAAAATTGAATGGCATAAAAAGAGTTATAATGAGCTGGAGAGAAGGCTCAGCAGTGAAGAGCAGAAGCTGCTCTCGCAGAGAATTCAAGTTTTGTTCCCAGCTCCCACATGGTGGCTAAGAACCATCCATAACTCCAGTTCCAGGGGATGTGACACCTTCTTCTGACCTCTATGGACACTGCACTTAAGTAGTGTGCTTACAAACATGAAGGCAAAACATTCATATAAATATAAATAATGAATAATAACAAGGGTTACAGGGATGGGGCATAGCAGAATGATAAGAGTGCTTGTTTAGCATGTGTGAGGCCTCGGTGGGAACCAAGCATCAGGAAAAAAGAAAAAAGACAAGAAGAATTGTAAGATGATATAGTTGATAAAATATTATAAATTTTCTGTCCTAGTTGAGATTCAGAAAACAGTATAATTTCATGAAAGCATTAGACTTTCTAATTCATGATTCCTACTTTTCCTTTTTTTTCCTACTTCATAAACCTGTTTATGAAGTTGTCCTGTTTTCAGACCCATAACGGCAGTGCATAATATCACTATACCAGGCAATAGAGAGTAAAAACTAATAAATGAGGAAACTATCCTAAATTGTGGCTAATGTGGCTTTCAATGTTTAAAAAAAGTTTGTTGCAAGCACCATTCCATCACTGCCAATGTCCTGTCTTCTAATGTTCTTTATCTCAACGCCTAGACAGAGAAGCTCCGTGGGTGCTCAGCCGGCTTGCAGCTGTCTATGATAGAGGTCGTATCATCACCTGTGTGGTTAGTTGCACCCTGACAGCGCACATTTAGGAATGTGCAATTTTCCCAGAAGGCCTGACACTGAGGCGGCTGTACCAGCCCCTGAGGGAGACAAGAGGCAGCAATCTTGCCTTCTTCTGAAGGAAAACTCTAAGTTCTCACCTTTTTTTTTTTTTTTTTTCGGTCTTTTTGAGACAGGGTCTCCCTGTAGCCCCAGCTGTCCTGGAACTCACTATGTAGACCAGGCTGGCCTTGAACTCACAGAGATCCGCATGCCTCTGCCTCCCAAGTGCTGGAATTAAAGGCGTGTGCCACCACACCTGGCCTAAGTTCTAACTTTCGGCACAATAACATCAATGAATGCCAGGCTGAGGCTACCACAAAATACTGAATTTACAAAAGAAAGGAAGTTTCACAAATTTTTTAATTTTATGATTCAACACCAGAAAGTCAGACTTCCAGTTTATGCTATTCTACAAAATGAGGTAAAGATCCTTTTTCCTTTATGAGGGGGAGGTCATAAATTATTGCCTTCCTCTCCAGTTCCTCAATCACAAATCACCAGGCTTTTGCTAAACAGACAGCATTCTGATAGAGTAATTTATCACTAATATCCAAGAGACATCAAAAGAAAAAAAAAAAAAAACCTGAATCTAATACTGGCTCAATGGGGCACAGGTGCCAAAACCCCTTCATCAATAATGCAAGCAAAGTGCACGTTCACGTTCTGTGCAGTAAATGGAGCTATTCAAATGGATAGCATCCAATGCCAACCATATTCTCCAGCCAAAACTTTTCCTACATGATCAATAGCAAGTAATTCAAATCCCTACCGAGAGCACCAGAAAGGAAAACAAGGTACCTATGAAAACAATGGGGGGGAATAAAAGAATGGAAATCCCGAAAGTGGCCAAAAGAAGGAAAAAAGATTTTATTTTTCACTTTTATAAATACCATTAGGAGCCTATCAGAAAGAGCATGACAAACCAAGAAGAAGGTGAAAATGAATTTACACAAAAGGCCCAGAGCTTAGGACATGGGGCCTGGCTACCTCCACTAAGAGCTGCTTTACCTCAGTGAGGCCAATATTCTTTCTTTTAATGACATTCTGCAGAGAGTTGCTCAGAGTCCTGGTCAGCAATAGGTTTGTAGACTTACGGATCATATCATCAACTTCAGTGGAGCTGAAACATAAATGATGGGACTCAGTTATATCAGGTAGAGCTCTTTTGGCAATCAGCAGGGTTCCAATGGTGCTTATGGTGATAACAGTGGTACCTGGATTAGCAGCAGTGATAGCAGCAGTGGTGGTGTGGTGGCAGTGCTGATGGTAATGGTAAAAAGAGCAGTAACAGCACATATTTACTGTCTGTACTTAAACACTTCCAGATTTTGTTTGGGTTAACATTTTGCTTTGTCTTCATTTTAAAAAATTATTTCCTTCTCTACAGAATTCTGCCTAGATATTTTTCCTTTGAGTATTTTAAGAAATTTGGGCAACTGTTTATCACTTGCATTGTTTCAGAAAGAAACCTAGAGTAGTGCTTGCTTCTCTGACTGCTATTTAGACATCCTCTTCACCAGTTTGAATATGATGTCATTAAGCACTTTTCTTTAGATGTTCTTGCATCTATTTTTTTTCTCTGGAATGGAATTCTCCAAGTTTAGGCTCTCTGATTTGGTATCTTTCATGTTTTTGGATACTCCCAGCCATACTCTCTTAAAATGTCTCTTCTCTCCTGTTCTCAGTTCTCTCTGGATCTACTATCTGGTGTTGCCACAGAGATGTCCAGCACTTTGTTCTATTTCTTTTATATCCACCCCAGTCATGCTGCAGAATGAACCACCTGGCCTACTTCAGAGTCCATGTACCCTCCAAATTCTTTTACTTGCTGTTAATTTAGAGAGCTGAAATTTCCAGAAAACTCCTCTAAATTCTTTATAAAGACTGACTTTCAATAATGTTAAGGAGAAAAAAAAATTGTGTGTAATGTATTTTAATGTTTTATTTATTTTTGATTTTATGTGTATGAGTGTTCTGCCTGCGTGTAAGTGCACCACATGTATGCCTGGTGCCCATGGGAGGCCAGAAAAGAGCATTGGATCCCCTGGAACTGGAGTTAGAGGTAACTGTTAGTTCCCATGTGGGTGCTGGGAACTGAACCTGGGTCCTCTGGAAGAATAGTAAATGCTTTTAAGCACTTAGTCATCTCTCTAGCCACTGTAATGTATTTTCTAAAAATATTTGTGTATTTCATACATGATATCTTAATCATCTTTATACCCCTTCCCTATTGGCACAATTCCAACCCCCCCCCACCAGATTTCATGCATTCTGTCATTTATGTTAAGGCCTATCGAGTCAAGTTAGTGTCCCCTGATGTCGCTCAGCAGAAGTTTATCCAATAGGATCTGGTCAGCCTCTCTAGCGTCACTCCCTTAAAGACGATCAGCTCTTCCTTACCCAGTAGTAATCAGTTGCCCACCAGTTCTTCGACTAATATAGGGGCCTGCTGCCAGTTTCCACAGTTCTATGCTGAGTTTTTTTTAGCAATATTGCTTCCTTCTTATTTATAATCTCCTAGGTACTTTCCTGACGTACTTTACTACTTGGCCCTTCTAGTGAAACTTTGGACTAAGTTCATGAGCCAGCACTGAGAAATATTGTGACTGGAAGTGGAGTGTCTATGTGCCTCCTTGGATTGGCCTGTAAAACACCAGGCTTTAACCCACTGACAGGTACCTAGAGCCATGTAAAAGTGAACTTGTTCTCTGCTTAAGGTTTGTGAGGCAGTTTGCTCTAATTATAACAGAAGCACTTATCATAGCTCTGTTCATTATTTAATTATTCACAGTTGATGTCTCACATTTATAAATTTTGAAGAACAGCAAAACAACAGCTATTAAGTTAGTGTCCCCTGACATCCCTAAGTACAAGTTCTTCCACTGGGGTCTAGTCAGCCTATCTAGAGTTCCTACCTTAAAGAAGATCAGCTCTTCCTTGCTCGGTAGTAACGAGCTGCCCAAAAGTTCTTTGGCTAAGATTGAGGCCTGCTGCCCTTTTCCATAGTTCTATGCTGGGTTTTTGTCTGCTTGAGTTTGCATGGGTCTTGTGCATGCTGTCACCACTGCTGAAAGTTCATATAAGCAAGGTGTAATATATTTTTAAATCAAATGTTAAATCGTTTTATCATAGGAGTGCCATTTCTTTGCTATTGAAAAGATCTTTCAAAAATAGTTATGCCTCCTCAGAATTCATGAATAACACAGCTTTTGATTATTTATAATGACTTTCAGGCTGGAGGGCTGGTTCAGCAGTTAACAGCACTGGCTGCTCTTGCAGAGGACCGGGGTTCAATTTCCGGCACCCAGATGACAGATAACAGTCATCTGTAACTCCAGTTCCAGGGGATCCAACGCCCCCTTTTGACTACTGTGGGGACTGCATGACACAGGTGCACTTATGCACATGCAGGCAATACATTCATACACACAAAATAAAAATAACTTTTTTTAGCTTCCAGAGATTAGCATGCTTTATTATGGTCTTGAAAGTAATCAGAAAAGACAGTAAAACATATTTGGAGATACTTCACTTTCATTTGGGGAAATCAGGCCACAGTGAATGAGGACAAAGTGTACCGGCTGCAGGTAGGAGGTGTATTTGGGCCTCAGGTGAGTGGACAATTAAGAAAATGCCATGAAGCTATCAGCCTGTGAGGTACATAGTTATCTATGTTCTCTGAAAGTCTTTGTGATGGAGTAGAGTACCAATTAACCATCGCTACTTAGTATTTACACTCAGGTTTAGCATGTTTATGATTTCAATTTATTTTTCCTTTTGGAGTGTATGTGTTGGGGGCGGTGCATACAGATGCACATGTGTGTGTTGATGTACCCCATGTGCATGCACAGAGGCCAGAGGAGGATGTCAGATGTGTTTTACCACTCTTTATTCCCTCGAGAAAGCATCTCCTATTAAACCTGGAGCAAGGCTGGCAGCCAGCAAGTCCCAGTGTTCCTCCTGCCACAGACTTGGGGTTACAGGTATGTGTACAGCCACACCTTATTCTACATGGATACTAGGGATTTGAACTCATGTCCTCATGCTTGCACATCAAGTGCTCTTACCCACTAGCCATCTCCCCAGCCCCTATCTCACAGTTTCTGTGATCAGGACTCTCAAACATAATAAATATTTTAATGACTATAAACATTGTTTACCCAATGAAAGAAAAAATACTCTCACAGAAAAAAATTAACAGTTTCATTTGAAGATAATTTCCCTTTTAAAAAAATATTTTATTTATTATTTTTATTTTATGTGTATGAGTGTATTGCCTGCATGTATGTGAGTGTACCTGTGTCCCACAATGCCACGGAGGTCAGAAGAGGGCATTGGATTCCCCTGGAATTGGAGCCAAGGACGGTTCATAGCCACCATGTGAGTGCTGGGAATCAAACCCAGGTCCTCTGCAAAAGCAGTCAGTGCTCCTAACCACTGAGCAATCTCTCCAGCCTGAAGATAATTTCCATTAAAGCTTGATAAATCTCAATCTAGTGTTTTTCTGGGTCTGTGAACCTTGTGTTTGAAAGAACTGCTTTTATATATATTTTCTCATTTGCCATACTGACCCTATTCTAAGATAGCTATGACTGAAAAAAATGACTTCCTAACTCCAGGTTACAAGGTAAATAAATATACTGCAGTAGAAGATAACTGTCAACCAAGGATTAAAGGCAAGTGTAAAATTCCCTCAACTTGAATATTTAAATTGTCAACATAAAATCCATCAAAGAGAGATTTTGGTTAAAAACTTAATATACTATTCAAATAAGAGAAAAAGATAATTTACTCCTATTACTCCATTATATTACCTTGCCCCAAGAAATAAGTGACGACAGGGCCATGCTGCTATGAACTTGTAATAATTTACTGGCAGTAACATCTGTAATGATACCCTAGAGACTGTTCTCTGATATGATGTCATATGGTCAATAGAGTGGATGGTGGAGGCCGCAGATATAAGATAAAAATCCAGAAGAAAAAATGTTTTGGAGTTCACCTTTCAAAGGTACTCTCAGTTAAAGAACACCTTTCTATGAAATTAATCTCACTTTTAGAGGAAAAAACAAATTAATTATATAAATTCCATGTTTCATTTTTTTTTCAAATTAGAATAGATGTTGGTAGGGCCTTGTGATACGGGTCTATAATCCCTGCAACGTGGGAGGCTATTGCAGAAGAATGGCAAGTTCATGGCCTACCTGGGTCATAGATCAGGCTCAAAGCTATGCTGAGTAAGTTATTAAGACCTTCTCTCAAAATTTTTAAAGTAGAAAGGCTTGAGACCTAGCTCAGAGGTAGAGCACTTGCCTAGCATGCTAGAAGACATAAGTTCAATTCCTGGTCCTGGAATGGTCAATTAAGAGGTGACTCAAATGAATTCCTAATTACTTTTATTTTCAGAAGAACTTGGCACAGCATACTTTCATTCATTGATTATTTTTTCCTGTTTATCAGGTGCAGGTACAGGAGATGCAGTATTGAACCTTTTCAAGCATCCTCAGTTTGGTTCCTATGTTCGTTTATCCTGTATGCCTGCAGCACTTACCATCAATTACAGCATTCCACAGTTAGGTTTAATTTCCTGGAGATAAAGGCACTACTTCCAGAATTTTAATGTCTTTCTTACTACTAAGCAGCACCTAGGTATAGATTTGTCAAAATATATAGAGGCTAAAGCGACAAACAAGAAAATAAAGAAGTCTATGGTTAAGACACACACATAAGCAGAGCGACAATGTTCCTAAAGATTTTACTGTTGCTTCCTTCTTACTATAAAATTTTATAAATGCTGAAATCAGTAGATTAAACTACAAGTTTCCCGTGAATTCTCAGTAACAGAAGGCAGCTATGAACCATCCTTAACTCCAGTTCCAGGGGAATCTGAAGCCCTC